GAGCCCACACTGGAGTAGGTTTTCCTGGGAGGACTTGTGGCCCTGTGCGTGACCCACCTTGGAGCAGGGGAAGGGCTCCTTTCCCAGAGCAGCAGCAGGAACAATCTGTGATGTTGTGGCCCCCATTCCCACCTCCCTGAGCCTCCCCCGCCCCAGGAACTCCCCCCTGGCCGCAGCGTTTTTGCTCGTGGTTCCGAGAAAAGGGCCGGAAAGCCGAGACTCGGTGTGGGGAGTGCTGGGGTGGGCTCGGCAGCCGGGTTGAAGCGGGAGCCGCCCCGGCCCCTCTGCTGCCGCCGCGGAGCCGCCGGGCCCGACCTTGTCCCGGTAAGTGCAGCCCTCGCTGCCCCCGCTGCCCTGCTTCGCTACTGCTGCTGCCGCTGTCCATGTTTGTGAGCCCCAAGGCTCCCTAAATCGCTGCTTTGGAGCTCCAGAGCTGCCTAAATGGGGGCTACTGAGCCTGCAATCTGCTTGACTTGGTCTTTGGGAGTCCAGAAGCTCTTTAAATCGCTCTTTCTGAGCCAAAAATAGCCTCAAATCACTCTCCCTGACCTGAGCCCCGAAGTTCCCTCTACCTTTTTTTTTCAGAGCCTCAAAGATGGTTATTTCTCAATGCAGGAGCTCCCTAAATCTCTGTCACTCAGCCCAAAAGCTCTCCAGAGGGGTGTGTGATGGGTTGACCCTGACTGGGTGCCAGGCACCCACCAAAGCCACTTTATCACTGCCCTCCATACCTGGACAGGGGAGAGAAAATACAGCCAAAGGTTCATGGCTTGAGAAAATATTCCCCAAAATCTGGTGTTGGGAGCCCCCTGGTTAACCTGGTTAACAGAGGAGCGAACTAAAGAAAACCCTGGATTGGAATAAGAGGAGAGTTCACCGGACAAAGCCCAGTGAGGTCTCTGAGCTGGGCAGGGGACACAGCCCCCCTTTTATCGCGTCTCACCCGAAACGCAGGTCCCTCCCGGTTTCTGCTTTGGCCAAGATACTCCGGGGTTACAGAGTCCCCCACGGCCCAGCTACACCCTCCCCACTGCACGCTGGGCTCCCCCTGCCTTTTGGCCCATGTTGTATCAAACGATGCCTTTCACTGTGGGGCCTGTCACGACCTTCCAAATGGGGCCATCCTCTCCCTGCAGCAGATTGCTTCTCCTATTCCCAAGCAAACTCTTTTCCTGTGCTCGAAGGTTGCATACTCACTAACTTTCCACTCTCTACTATTAAGCTAATTATGACTTTATTCCAAGATTTGCAAGAACACTATTTTTCCTTATAGTAAGGGAAAGATCCCTCATTGATTGCTATCATGGGAAAAGCAGACTCGAACTGAGGAAAGGGATTGAATGTATTACCAACCAAGTCAGAGAAGGATAATGAGAAGTAAAACAAACCTTACAAACTCCTTTCCCCCCACCATTCCACCCCTCCTTCCTGGGCTCTCTCTCCTCCTCCTCCTCAGTGGCTCAAGGAGATGGGAATGGGGGTCACAACATCACAGATTGTTCCTGCCGCTGCTCTGGGAAAGGAGTCCTTCCCCTGCTCCAAGGTGGGTCACCCACAGGGCCACAAGTCCTCCCAGGAAAACCTACTCCAGTGTGGGCTCCTCTCCCCACGGGTCAGCAGGTCCCTGCCAGGACTGCGCTCCAGCAGGGGCCTCCCATGGGATCAGTGCCTCCTTCGGGCATCCCCTGCTCGGGCCTGGGCTCCTGCCTGGGCTGCAGGGCAGTGTCTGCACTCCTGGGGTGCCCCGTGGGCTGCAGGGCAGTGTCTGCACTCCTGGGGTGCCCCGTGGGCTGCAGGGCATTGTCTGCACTCCTGGGGAGCCCCGTGGGCTGCAGGGCAGTGTCTGCACTCCTGGGGTGCCCCGTGGGCTGCAGGGCAGTGTCTGCACTCCTGGGGTGCCCCGTGGGCTGCAGGGCAGTGTCTGCACTCCTGGGGTGCCCCGTGGGCTGCAGGGGCCCCTGCACTCTGTGGAGAAGCCCCTGGTGGAGCAGCTGTTACACACTGGGACATGGCAGGAACTCAAGTATTCCAGAGGTGTTACTATCATTCCTGATGGGCTTGGCCTTGTCCAGTGGTGGGTCCGTTCTGGAGCCACTGGAATTGGCTCTGCCGGACATGGGGGAAGCTTCTGGAAGCTGCTCACAGAACCCACCCCTGGAGCCCTCCCGCTACCAAAACCTGGCCACCCAAACCCAACACAGGGTGTTTTGGAGCCTCAGACCTCCCTGAATTGGTCTTTCTGAGTGCAGATGCTCCCAAAATCCGTGCTTTGAACCCCAAAACTCCCTAAATCACTGGTTCTGACCGGAAAAGCTCCCTAAACGTGTGTTTCTTGGTCCAAAGCTTCCTAAATCAGGGTTTCTGAGCAAGGCCCTCTCTAAACAGGTTTTTTTGGAAGGCAAAACCCTCCTTAAATGGATATTTCTGAGCCCTGATCCTCCCAAAAGAGTGTTTCTCAGCCCCTAAGCTGCCTACATTGGCAATGTGGACCCCTAAATATTCCTAAATATGTGTTTCTGAGCCTACATGCTCCCTAAATTGCTCCAAAGATTCTAAATAGGGGCTTTTTAGGCCCCAAAGCTCCTGAGGATGGTTGGTTTGAAAGAACAGCTTGAATATATGGAAGTCCTCAGCAAGATGGACAAAGTTAAGTTGACTTGGATGAATGAGCAGAGAAGTCTGAAAGGGAGGGGCACTGTCTTGGCACTTGAAGGTTGGCAGAAGAAGTAACACAGATTTAGAGCTGGTGGCAAGGTGTCCTAAGGAAAGTATTTGGGTTCCTAAGTAGGTGTGGTGGATCCCATTCCTCTTGCCTGTGGTCATCTGAAAGTCTTTCAGAAGACAGGCCCAAAGGAAAAGGCCAAGGGACGGTGAAGGGCCCTGGGAGGTGTCTCTCCGCTCCTGCAGTGTGGAGGAGGAGTGTCTCACTCTTGGGGGTGACTCTGTTCTGGTGGGACTGTGCACAGGCACCTGTGTGGTGCCTGAATGCTGTGGCAGCCGAGGCAGCTTCTGGGCCAGGAGAGCCGGAGTGGCCTCGAAGGTCAGAGCCCCCCCAGCGCTGCTGTCGGGCTCCTGGCGCACAGGACCTTGTGGTTCCAGGGCCAGCTGGGTGGTGTGTTCTGCCCAGAACCTGCTCAATGCATTCCAGGAGTTCCTCAGGGAAAGGTCCTTGTTAAATGTGCTCTTTTGGTTTGGTTTTGTTTTCATGTGACCCTGATACCCAGTTGCTGCGGTTGGTGTGGAGCTGCTCAAGGTGCTCCTAGACGAGCTCAGGAAGCGAGCAGGTGAGTGAGGTGATGCCATTGGTGGTGCCTGTGCTCATCCCTGGGAACCTGCAGGATGGGAGGTGTTATCCCTGAGAGAAGCGAAGCCTCCCTCTGAGCACGTTACCTGGAGAACCCCTTCAGTGCACAGCACAAGGCCTGGCCTTTGGGGTGGGGTGAGTTTGGTCAGAGGGACGTCCCTCTGGAAGAGATCAGTGATGGTGCCCACAGTGCATCAGCTTGGGAATTGCCCAGCCCTGTTTTTCAGGGATGAGTGAGTTCTTTTCCAAGGCTGCTGAATTAGAAAGGGTTGTCTAATGAAAAAGAAGTGTGGAGCACACAGATTAGTAAACAGGCCTGACTGAGGGAACTAAGTCTGAGTTTCTTGTTCCCTCCCTGCAAGAAGAAATAAGGCAAAAAATCCCATTTCCAGGCTGCACCTTGAGTGCAAGGTTGAATTCCTCTGGAGGGAGTAATTCTCAGGAGGAGAGAGGAATTAAAAAGACAACCTGCAGGAAGGCTTAAGAAGAGACCCTCAAGGAGAGACTTGAAACCAGAGGATTTGAGCATCCTCAGGGCAGATGGGTGGTCTCCCCTTCAAGGTGAAAGTGTCAGTCTTCCACTGACACCTGTTCCTTTTCACAGAAAGAAAAAGGAAGGCCAAGGCCTTAAAGGTGCATGAATCATGCATGAAGGAGGACTTGCAGAAGCTCATCCAACAAATGAAAGCTATGTTTGAAGATCTCCAGAAATGGCAAGAATCCAGTAAGTGTGATATTCAGCTGCTCAGAGCAGACCTGAACAAGGAACAAGGTGATCAGGGCCATTCCCAAGCAGACTTCCATCTCTGGGAACACCAAAGCTGCTCTACAGGCTCTGTGAGCTCATCCTGCACAGCTCCTCAGAGGGGATGGAGAAGGACAGCCCTGCCATGGGGAACAGCTTTGGTGATCCCTGAGCCTGAAACAGCTCCATACTGAAGTGTTCTCTGCAGGTGGTCATGGCCACACTTGTCTCTCCTCTCTGCAGACAGTGTGTGCTGTGAGTTCTCTAATGCCTGATAGTTGTTAAGGTTCCTCCCTTGAAGTCCTGTCACCGTCTCTCTCCCTTTCCCCACGTCCCTTCTCCTACTCCCCACTGCTGGGCCATGTTGGGGCACATGTGAGACCAACCTTGTCTTCCTCTTGAAGATGAACAAGGAGACCCAGTGCCATGAGCACTGGAGGTGTCTGTGAGCACAGGGGCCCGTGGAGAACAGCTCTCCCTGCAGGAGCTGGTGCTGGGAAGGGGAAGGAGCCAGCTGGGGCACAGACACCACTGTGGGCCTGCTGAGACCCAGATGGTGCTCCCTGGCCTTGCTGAGGCAGGACAGAGAGTGTGTTGGGAACAGCCTATTGCACCCAGGGCAGGGACAGGTGAGACAAGATGGGCCTCACCTGCCTGTGGGTGCTGTTGTGGCTGCAGGAGCAAAACTCTGTCAGTGAGCAGCCCAGAACAGTCCAGGGAAACCCCTTGACTTGCTGAGGGCTCAGACCAGTGTGGCCTTAGAATGAAGCCTGTGGCCCACTTTTCAAAGTTGAAACCAGATTTATTGAGCTGCAGAAAGCACCAGTGAGAGTTTGCAAAGGGAAGAGAATGTACTCTTGAGTTTCTTGTGCCCTTCCTTCTAAAAGTCAGAGGGCAAAGGAAAAACCATTTTCAGATTGTGCCTCCATCACAAAATTGAATTCCTGTGAGCTGAGGATTTCTGAGGGGGAGTGAGGAAGGAAAATACACACCCAGAGGAGAGCCCTGAGAAGAGACCCTCTGGCAGGGAGCTTAAATGAGAGCCTTTGGGCACCCTTGTGTCAGAGAGCTGCTCTGCCCCTGGAGGAGGAAACCTGAGTGTTGTGGTTACAAAGCCAGGGTGTGGAGCTTTGGCTCTTGGGGTGGGGTGAGTTTGGTCAGAGGGACGTCCCTCTTTGACCAGAGACACGTCCTGCTCTAGCAGAGGGTCTCCCTCTCAATTGGTAACGCTTGACAGACATAACACAGCACTTCTGGGATGTCCCTTCCTTCCCTTGACCACTAAAGGAGGAATCTCAACCTGGGCTTTCCTCCAGGGGCAAAAGGGAGAAGCCTTTCTGTGCAGGTGAGTGCCAGGACTTGCCCACACTACCTGGAAACTAAACCCTGCCTAACACAAAGAAGATACCAAGGCCTGTTGTGCCTGAGGGCCCAGCACAGTGAGGTCCAATAATCCCATCTGTCCCTAAATTCCCACTTCCAAGGGCCTCCAGCCAGTGCTTTGTTGTATTTCCCAGCCCATGCAGGCCCCCAGGGTGCAGAGCTGCCCCAGAGTGGCTTTGCCAGCCCAGCCCAGCCCAGCCTGGGCTCTGCTGGATCCCATGGTCCCCAGGTTGTAAGGCAGCTGTTTGTCTGTCCCTGCTGTTTGCAGCTGGGATGGGGGCAGGGGAATGTTCTTCCCTCAAGGAACACTTGGAAATCAGCATGGCCTGGGCTCTCAGCCATGACCAGGCCGTTGGGGAGTGAGGGGGCAGTGGGGTTCCTGTCAATGCTCCTTCCCAGCAGCACAGGAGCTCCAAGCCCGTGTTTCTAAGGGCTACCAGTGGTGCTGAGACTCCTTTCCACAGACAAAAGCTGGAAGGGAACACAGTCTCCATGTCCCAGATGGGTGGTCTCCCCTTCAAGGGGGCAGTGTCAGTCTCCTCCTGAGACCTCTCTTTTTTCACAGAAATGACAGAGGAGGGAAATACCCCAAAGGCTCAGGGATCCAGGATGGAGGAGACCCTTCAGCAACTCTGCCAAGAAATGAAAGCTGTGCGTGAAGATCTCCAGAAAGGGCAGGAATCCAGTAAGTGTGACATTCAGCTGCTCAGAGCAGACCTGAACAAGGAACAAGGTGATCAGGACCATTTCCAAGCAGACTTTCATCTCTGTGAACACCAAAGCTGCTCTACAGGCAAACCACTCTGGGAGCTCGTCCTGCACAGCTCCTCAGAGGGGATGGAGAAGGACAGCCCTGCCATGGGGAACAGCTTTGGTGATCCCTGAACCTGAAACAGCTCCATGCTGAAGTGTTCTCTGCAGGTGGTCATGGCCACACTTGTCTCTCCTCTCTGCAGACAGTGTGTGCTGTGAGTTCTCTAATGCCTGATAGTTGTTAAGGTTCCCCCCTTGAAGTCCTGTCACCTTCTCTCTCCCTTTCCCCACGTCCCTTCTCCTACTCCCCACTGCTGGGCCATGTTGGGGCACATGTGAGACCAACCTTGTCTTCCTCTTGAAGATGAACAAGGAGACCCAGTGCCATGAGCACTGGAGGTGTCTGTGAGCACAGGGGCCTGAGTTTCTTGTCCCCTCCCTGCTGAAGGACAGAGGGAAAACCATTTCAACATGGCAACTGCATTGTAGAATTGAATTCCTGCCAGGTGAGGATTTCTAAGGGGGAGTGAGTGAGGAAGGAAAAATACAGCCAGAGGAGAGCCCTGCTATTTCCTTTTCAAATTGTTTTTTTTGTACTTTCTTCTCTTCATTATTTTGAGGTGACATAGAATCTTAGAATTAACTGGTTTAGAAGTGACCTCTGAGATCATCAAGTCCAACCCTTGATCCAACCCCACTGTGATTACCAGATCATGGCACTCAGTGCCACATCCAGCCTCATCTTAAAGACCTCCAGGGACGGTGAATCCACCACCTCTCTGAGCAGGCCATTCCAATGCCTGATCACTCTCTCTGTAAAGATCTTCTATTTCTTTCTAATTCTTTCTAATATCCAACCTAAACCTCCCCTGGCAGAGCTTAAGCCTGAGCCCTGTTGTCCTATTGCTGATTGCCTGGGAGAAGAGACTGATTCCTGGGGGACACCACTGGTGACTGGATCCCAACTGGATGCAGCCCCGTTCCCACCACTCTCTGGGCCCGGCCCTCCAGCCAGTTCTTAAGCCAGCACAGAGTGCCCTGTCCAAGCCATGGGCTGCAGCTTTTCCAGGAGTATATTATGGGAGACAGTGTGAAAGGCTTTGCTGAATTCCAGATAGACACATCCACAGCCTGCCCCTCATCCACCAGGTGGGTCACCTGATCATAAAAGGAGATCAGGTTGGTCAGACAGGACCTGCCCTTCCTAAACCCGTGCTGGCTGGCTCTGATCCCTTGTCCATCCTGTAGGTGCTGTGTGATTGCACTCAGGATGATCTGCTCCATAACCTTGCCAGGCACTGAGGTCAGGCTGACAGGCCTGGAGTTTCCCGGGTCCTCCTTGCAGTCCTTTTTGTGGATTGGCGTGACATTCGCCAACTTCCAATCATCTGGGACCTCCCCAGAGAGCCAGGATTGTTGGGAAATGATGGAGAGCGGCTTGGCGAGCTCTTCTGCCAGCTTCCTCAGCACCCTAGGATGGATCCCATCTGGTCCCATGGACTTGTGTGAATCCAGGTGGCTCAGTAAGTCACTGACTATTTCCTCCTGGAATACAGGGGGCTGTTCGGCTTCCTGTCCCTGTCTACCAACTCCAGATGCCAGTTGTTCCGAGGGCCACCTGTCCTACTGGTGAATACTGAGGCAAAGGAGGTGTTAGGTACCTCAGCCTTCTCCTCACCCCTGTTAACTCTGTTTCCCCCCCGGTCCAACAAGGAACGGAGGTTTTCCTTGCCCTGGCAATTTTGAGACATCTGCCAGCTGCTTGTAGAATAATTCATCACCCTCATCACCCTGGTTGGGTGGTCTATAACAGACTCCCATTAGGATGTCAGCCTTGTTGGCCTTCCCCCTGATTCTGGTCCACAAACACTCAACCTTATAGTTGGTGACCTCAAGTTCTACAGAGTCAAGGGACTCTCTAACATACAGAGCCACCCCTCCACCTCTCCTACCCTGCCTCTCCTTTCTGAAGAGCTTGTAACCATCCATGGCAGCACTCCAGTCCTGCAAGTCATCCCACCACATTTCTGTGATGGCAACTACGTCACAGCTTTCCTGCTGCACGATGGCTTCCAGCTCCTCCTGTTTGTTGTTCATGCTGCATGCATTGGTGTACATGCACTTCAGCTGGGCTGCTGATTTTACTCTTAACTCGGGCCTTTCATCCCTGGGCTTCTCTTTGGAGAGCCTGGATTCAACCCCTTCCCCCTTCAAACCTAGTTTAAAGCCCTCCTGATGAGCCCCACTAACTTATGGGCTGCAGTCCTTTTGCCCCTCCTAGATACATAAAGCCCATCTGATCTAAGAAGACTGGGTACTGTGGGGTTTGCTCCATGGTCAAAAACCCCAAAATTTTCACGGTGCACCAATCCTTTAGCCACCTATTGATAAGGTAGGCTTTCCTACCCTTCTCCTCATTTATCTCCTCATTCATTCCAGCAAGTACAGGAACTGAACATAATATAATATGTCCCTTCACTATTGGAATAGGAGTAGGGAGAGGTTGAAACCAAAGGGGAGTGACTTGTTGAGAATCTCAGTCCACCAGTAACTGTGCAAAGCCACCACAGTCAGTGACCCAGGATCATTGCTCTTTCTTCACAGACAGGAAAATGAAGAAAATGGCAAGGGCCCAGAAGTCCAAGATGGACAAGGAATTCCAGCAGCTCTGGCAAAGAGTTCAAACTATGGAACAATACTTACATGGGAGGCTGTGGTCCGAACAGCACATCCTTCAGCTCTTCAGAGCAGAGACTGGGATGGAACAAGGTGAGCAGGGCCATTCCCAAGCAGACTTCCATCTCTGTGAACACCAAAGCTGCTCTACAGGCAAACCACTCTGGGAGCTCGTCCTGCACAGCTCCTCAGAGGGGATGGAGAAGGACAGCCCTGCCATGGGGAACAGCTTTGGTGATCCCTGAGCCTGAAACAGCTCCATGCTGAAGTGTTCTCTGCAGGTGGTCATGGCCACACTTGTCTCTCCTCTCTGCAGACAGTGTGTGCTGTGAGTTCTCTAATGCCTGATAGTTGTTAAGGTTCCCCCTTGAAGTCCTGTCACCGTCTCTCTCCCTTTCCCCACGTCCCTTCTCCTACTCCCCACTGCTGGGCCATGTTGGGGCACATGTGAGACCAACCTTGTCTTCCTCTTGAAGATGAACAAGGAGACCCAGTGCCATGAGCACTGGAGGTGTCTGTGAGCACAGGGGCCCGTGGAGAACAGCTCTCCCTGCAGGAGCTGGTGCTGGGAAGGGGAAGGAGCCAGCTGGGGCACAGACACCACTGTGGGCCTGCTGAGACCCAGATGGTGCCCCCTGGCCTTGCTGAGGCAGGACAGAGAGTGTGTTGGGAACAGCCTATTGCACCCAGGGCAGGGACAGGTGAGACAAGATGGGCCTCACCTGCCTGTGGGTGCTGTTGTGGCTGCAGGAGCAAAACTCTGGCAGTGAGCAGCCCAGAACAGTGCAGGAAACCCCTTGACTTGCTGAGGGTTCAGGCCAGTGTGGCCTTAGAATGAAGCCTGTGGCCCACTTTTCAAAGCTGAAGCCAGATTTACTGAGCTGCAGAAAGCACCAGTGAGAGTTTGCAAAGGGAGGAAAATGTGCTCTGAGTTTCTTGTGCCCTTCCTTCTAAAAGGCAGAGGGCAAAGGAAAAACCATTTTCAGATTGTGCCTCCATCACAAAATTGACTTCCTGTGAGCTGAGGATTTCTGAGGGGGAGTGAGGAAGGAAAATACACACCTAGAGGAGAGCCCTGAGAAGAGACCCTCTGGCAGGGAGCTTAAATGAGAGCCTTTGGCCATCCTTGTGTCACAGAGCTGCTCTGCCTCTCAAGGAGGAAACCTGAGTGTTGTGGTTACAAAGCCAGGGTGTGGAGCTTTGGCTCTTGGGGTGGGGTGAGTTTGGTCAGAGGGACGTCCCTCTTTGACCAGAGACACGTCCTGCTCTAGCAGAGGGTCTCCCTCTCAATTGGTAACGCTTGACAGACATAACACAGCACTTCTGGGATGTCCCTTCCTTCCCTTGACCACTAAAGGAGGAATCTCAACCTGGGCTTTCCTCCAGGGGCAAAAGGGAGAAGCCTTTCCGTGCAGGTGAGTGCCAGGACTTGCCCACACTACCTGGAAACCAAACCCTGCCTAACACAAAGAAGATACCAAGGCCTGTTGTGCCTGAGGGCCCAGCACAGTGAGGTCAAATAATCCCGTCTGTCTCTAAATTCCCACTTCCAAGCACCTCCAGCCAGTGCTTTGTTGTATTTCCCAGCCCATGCAGGCCCCCAGGGTGCAGAGCTGCCCCAGCAGTGGCTTTGCCAGCCCAGCCCAGCCCAGCCTGGGCTCTGCTGGATCCCATGGTCCCCAGATTGTAAGGCAGCTGTTTGTCTGTCCCTGCTGTTTGCAGCTGGGATGGGGGCAGGAGAATGTTCTTCCCTCAAGGAACACTTGGAAATCAGCATGGCCTGGGCTCTCAGCCATGGCCAGGCCGTTGGGGAGTGAGGGGGCAGTGGGGTTCCTGTCAATGCTCCTCCCCAGCAGCACAGGAGCTCCAAGCCCGTGTTTCTAAGGGCTGCCAGTGGTGCTGAGACTCCTTTCCACAGACAAAAGCTGGAAGAGAAAACAGTCTCCAAGTCCCAAGGAAGAGTGACGCCCTAGGAGAGAGACCAAAGCTCCTTCCCAGAGCAAATTCCTGGTGGAAAAGGATTCGAAAGCTGGGGAAGAGATCACTAACAGTGCCCACAGTGCATCAGCTTGGGAATTGCCCAACTCTTTCTTTTAAGGGATGAGTGAGTTCTTCTCCAAGGCTGCTGAAATTAGAAAGGGTTGTCTAAAGAAAAAGAAGTGTGGAGCACACAGATTAGTAAACAGGCCAGACTGAGGGATCTGAGTTTCTTGTTCCTTCCCTGCATGAAGAAATAAGGCAAAAAAGCCCTTTTCCAGGCTGCACCTTGAGTGCAAGGTTGAATTCCTCTGGAGTGAGTATTTCTCAGGAGAAGAGGAATTAAAAAGATAAACCTGCAGGAAGACCTAAGAAGAGGCTCTCAAGGAGAGACTTAAAACTATTTAGGATTTCAGTATCCTCAGGGCAAATGGGTGGTGTCCCCTTCATGGGGACAGTGTGTCTCCCACTGACACCTGTCTTTTTTCACAGAAAGAAGAAGGGAGGCCAAGGCCTCAAAGGTCCAGGAATCATGCACGAAGGAGGACTTCCAAGAGCTCCTCCAACAAATGAAAGCTTTGCATTAAGATCTCCAGAAATGGCAGGAATCCTGCAAGGTTGATGTTCAGCTTCTCAGAGCAGAGACTGGGATGGAACAAGGTGATCAGGGCCATTCCCAAGCAGACTTCCATCTCTCTGAACACCAAAGCTGCTATGCAGGCAAACCACTCTGAGAGCTCGTCCTGCACAGCTCCTCAGAGGGGATGGAGAAGGACGGCCCTGCCATGGGGAGAGGCCCTGAGAAGCTGCCTTCAGTCATGGAATCACCACCACAATCCCTCCTGTGACTAAAGGCTGCTTGTCTGGGCCTCTGCCCACGGGGAACAAACAGTTTTTGTGATCTGGGACACTCAAACAGCTCCATGCTGAAGTGTTCCCTGCAGGGGGTCAGGGCCCCTCCCCTCTCCCTTGTCTTTGAGGACAGTGAGGACAGCTCTGAGCTGATTTGTGGTAAAGGTGTCCACCTCCCAGCCCTGCTACGCACTCACCTCCCTCATGACAGGGTTGTCTGCCATGGCCCAGAGATGCTGTCTGGAGACGTGGAGGGGATGATCCCTATCCCCCATCCTGCCCCCAGGCTTTGCCAAGCCCTCAGGGAGGCTCACAGAGCCTGTGCTCTGTCCCCAGCCCTGCTGCAGTCAACCCATCCAACCAACGGAAGGAAGCTGGTAAGGAATAAGTGCAGGTACCAGTCCAGGCTCAGGGCTGACCTGCTGGAAAGTAGCTGTGCAGAGAAGGCCCTGGGGGTTCTGGGGGACAAAGAGTTGGCCAAGGGTCAGCAATGGCCAAGAAGGCCAAAGGCTGCCTGGGCTGCCTTAGGAAGAGCTTTGCCAGCAGGCCAAGGGAGGAGCAGCCCTGGGGAGGCACACCTGGAGTGCTGTGTCCAGTGCTGGGTTCCTCAGTACTTGGGAAACATGGAGCTCCTGCAGCGGGTCCAGCTGAGGCTGCAGAGGTGATCAGGGGCCTGGAGAGGCTGAGGGAGCTGGGCCTGTTTAGTCTGGAGAAGAGAAGTCTGAGAGGGGCCGTCATCCATGGACGGAAGTGTTTGAAGGGTCAGGAGGATGGAGCCAGGCTCTTCTGGGTGGTGCTGAGTAATAGGATGGGAGGCAATGGGCAGAAAGGGAAACAAAGCAATTTGCACCTGAACATGAGGAAGAACTTCCTTAGTGTGAGGGTGACTCAGCACTGGAAGCAGTTCCTAGAGTGACTGTGGAGTCTCCTTCTTTGGGGATCTTCAAAAGCCAACTAGAGATAATCCTGAATAATGGTCTCTAGGAGACCTTGCTTGATCAGGGAGGTTGGAAGGGACCACTAGAAGACCTCCAGTCCAACCTTACCCAGCTGGTGATTTAGTGAGGGTTTCATTACATTTCCTAATTATTTCTGTGGACTTCTCTAGATATGCTCCAAGGTCTTCTAATGAGTCTCCTTTCCTTGAGAGGATCTGGAATACTGGTCAGGTCATAATTTCTTCTCTTACCGTTCTTTGCTCTGACCCACAAGCCTTGTTCTCAAAACTAAGACATCTCCTAGTCCCTATTAGTCACTGACACAGGGAAATAAGGGAGCAAGAGGTGGCACAAGACTATCAGTCACAGATGTGGGATCAAACCCTATTGTACTAAAGTTAAAAGAATTTGCCAGCATCTTCCCCCACTGCTGCAGCCACTCCTTTTGAAAAGAAAATACACCTTGTTTGGTAACACTCCCGACCTCCCAGGCACCCCTAGCCCCCTCCCCAGAGTGGCAGCACCAGGAGCAGAAAAGGCCTTGTCTCCGGGTAAGCCCTGGCCAGCAGTAACACAAACACCTGTGTTATCATTCAGCACAAATGCCAAACAGCCCCACACCAGCCCCTGGGAACAAAAGGAACTCTGCCCCAGCCCAAACCAGCACACAGGACACAAACAACACTTCCTCCTCCCAGTGACAGAGGACACGGGGAGGAGTGGGGCCAACCACAAGGGCCTTGCTGCTCTGCCACCCCAAGGTCTCTGCAAGGGGCACCACAAGCAGCTGAACAACCCCCGGCTGAGCACAGGGAGCCTGGCTTTTTTATGGGCAACCTTTTGCTCCCCAGAGTGCCCTGGTGTCCATTTGGACCTCCTGCATGAAGGCAGGAGATGGTGACTGAGGAGGAGTGGAGTCTCTGTTGGGTCCCCCTGTTGAGTGTTCAGTGCACAGAAGTGGAACCATGGATTTGCTGCGGGTCTTGCACAGCTGCAGGTGCCTGTGTGTGTCCCAGGTGGGACAGGAGAGTCCAGGGCTGCAGGAGAGGGTCAGATTTGGTGCAGCCCATGCACATCCTTGGGGCGTGGAATGGACACAGTTCAGAGCCTGGGGGCAAGTGAGTTATTGCAGAACAGATGAACAGAGAGCGAAGGTGGGGTGTGATCAGGGTACAGACTGTGTTCAGAACAACTGCTATCAAAATCTGACAGCACTGAGGGAGCTTCCATCAGAAATGGCCTTGACTTCTCTACCCTCAGCTCCTGCAGAGATGTTTCTGACACAATGGCTTTGGAGCCCATCCCCACGTGTTGCTGGATTGCACCTCCTTTATCTCAGCTTGTTCTAATCTTTGATCACCCTCATTTCAAAAAGCGACTAAAAATCTTTTTTCACACATTTATTGGGAATTTCTCATGTTGCAGCCTGTGCCTGTTAGCTCTTACCTGATGAAGGCACATCTCCAAGAAGATGCTTTATGGGGAAAGAAGTGTAGCAAGGGCATTGAGCCCCAAACCAGTCCCCGAGTCTTACAGACATTGTTACCTGGGGTGGTGGTGGAGTCTCCATCCTTGGAGATAATCTAAAGCCCCTGGATGAGGTTCTGGCCATCCAGCTCCAGGTGTCCCATCTGGGTTGGACCAGATGCTCTCTGGAGGTCCCTTGCAACCTCTCCTTGTCTGTGTTCCTGTGATTCTGTACAGGGCACGAGACATCTGAAACCACAAGT